ATGCAGACCCTGTTGTATTTTCTTGTAATTTATTAAAAGAAGGTACACCGCCATCTTGTGCCGACTAAACTGACTTGAACGCACCTGACGTCGTAATTACGACTTGTCAACTCGTAAGTACGAACGTCCCAGGAGGACTTGAACGCAGCATATGTGCCATTCGCCGTACACCGTGAACAACTGACCAATCTCAGCCACAGCTTCAGCGTCTATGTGAAATTAGTGATGTCCGGTTCGCGAACGAATCGTTCGATTTAAAAGCATTAATCCACAAATTACTTAAGTTATTCACTTTTTTAACATGACTGACACTCCTGAGTCGAAATAAACCAATATCCCGGAGTAATTCATTTACTCAAACAGTACACTGACTGAACTGTTGTGAAGAGAGGACTGAAGATGAACAGCAGCATGTGTGCAGCAAGCTGGATAACGAATGTACACCCACTGCTGGAGCAGTTCTCGTTCTCGAGTCAAGAACCGGTTGCATCGGTTTTCGGATCACCAGTACACTGAACAGAGAACCGTTTCTTTCGGACACATCCGATATGAGAACCGATGAGCTGATTCTCGTTCTCGAGTCAAGAAACGGGTGCATCGACTTGAATGAAGGGCAATCTGGCGAAACGTAAGTTTATTTAATAACAAATAAATCGCAATGGATTATGTATAACTTTAACACTGTTGCCGGGTTGTTGTTCATGTCCGCGGGTATAGGCGACCCCAATAATGTGATATTTAGTCCCTTGAATGTGAATTTTACTGGAAGATCCCCGCCGAAAAACGATCAAATAAAAAACAACTGCCCGTGCAGATCATGATTAAAATGCAGTGGTTGCCTCTAATTTCAAATGGCTAGATATTTTTGTTTAAAGCCAGTTTGTTTGTTATAAAGCAAATAGCCAATAAATACATTTGCTTAAAAATCAGTATCAGAATCCAATTTGCTAGTTAAAAAAAAAAAGAAAGAAAAAAGAAAATCTGAATTCTGAATCCGCTATGATCAGCGTATCACTAATTAAAATACTAAATAAAAGGCCTCAAATTTGAAGTACAATCTGGGATGTCTTTTTCTATCAGTTCTTCCGATAGGTAGATCTTGTCTTTCATAAAGGCCGGGGTCAGGGATCTTGGGCCTAAAAAGGTTGGTGACCACTGCTGTAGAAGCTTCTGTCACGAAAACAAATTCCTCGTATGTGTAAACATACCTGGCAATAAAGCTCATTCTGATTCTGATTCTGATGCACATCACTGCCTGTTACTGTATTTGGGTGCTTAGTTGCAAAACTTAATTGTAAACTTTTCAGATCATGATTATGATGTTTTAATTGACTGAAGTTATGATTACTGACTTTATATATTTGAATGTGTTTTTTCATCCCGGCCCGGGATGATAGACTTGATATCATTACGTCATCGCGAATGACGTAATTACGTTAGGGCGTAAAAGAACTGATGAACCGGTATTTTGAAACGAACTGTCCGAAAGAACCGGTTCGCGGAAAAGAACCGGACTTCCCATCACTACTATTTATAGTGTAGGGGGCGGGCGCTTCGGATTCTAGAGAGCATTTGATTGGTCAGAAGATTTTATTTTATTTTTTAATTATTAAAGAAGAATGATTGAACAAACAAAAATATTAAGTAAATCCAGATACACAAAATATAAGAGCAATCTTAAACTGTAGAACAGTGTTCTTAATTTTGTAATTTCTAGTATTGCATCCTTCTCATGAGCATTTAATACTTTTTTACTTTTCAGTCTGAGTTAAATCTATTTTTTTCCCTTCCCATTTTACCTGTAAAAGAAAACCTGCCTAATAATTATGCACACCTGAATATAAGACGTTTTTCATTTCCAGCATTCCTTAATTATATATCACATATAAATGATTAAATACAAAATTAATAGTAGTTATTAACATTGATGTGGTTTGGAATTGTAGAATGTACTTGGAAAAAAATATGATCAGAATATCAACTTGCATAATACTTATGCACGCACTGTACATGCACTTTTGATTGTCTTCTAACACTAGTGGGTTACGCTACCAGTCTGTTCAAAGGAACAGGCGCTAAACTAAGTTTTCAGTACGTTTCAGTTGTGTTGACAATTGGGATGACATACTGCTTTTCCCTAATCTTAATGAAAACACATTTTGATGAAACAGGAACAGCAATTGTTTCAAGGCTCTCCGTTACCTCCATCGCAAAATCACCAGCGCCACTGCACTCAAGTGTTAGTCTGGAGCCCTGATTATGTTATTTTGTTCAGTAGTTGTGGAGGATTTTTATTGGTCAAAATATGAATTGTTCAAGTATAATCATCGTGAATATAACCATTTATGAATCAAGTTATTTTACTATTATAATCATGTATTTGCCTGTGTGCAGACAGGCCTGCATATGAATGGTATAGAAGTCTGTATGAGGGGCAGACATATGATGGGGCTGCATGTCCTGTTTTGACATTAGACAAAATATATGATGGGGCCCTTACTTTCACGGAACATAAAATGAAGGCTTCCTGTCTGCATCTTGGTAGCAGACTGGAGACACAGCCAAAAAAGGTAAACCATAACAAATATGAAATATATTGAACACGCCTAGAGGAAGAACTGTATAAAAGAGGGTACAGACACAGATTCGGGAGATTTTCTGCAGATTACCTCTAGACTGCATTATCTCTCTGATAATAAAAGTCTATGCTTCTGGCATCAAAACCCCAAGACTTCAAGAGTGATTCTTCATAGAAACAGCAGGAGCCACCACATAGTCTGTTCAGAATTGTGATCTAAAAAATTATGATTATTAATTATCCAGAATCGTGGAGATACATATGTCAACTTTGCATGTTTCCTAAATATCTGCAAACATATTATGGTATTTTTATGCTTTAGTACAGTCAAACAATTGCATACAGCACCATACAGAAAATTGCATACAGGATAATACATTCTGTTAGTCATATAATGTACATTCTTTTTGCTTAGCTTCAGGTCCTGATCACCCTTTTAGGGTTATTTGTGATAACACCAGCTGAATGGACATTATTGCACTTATTACATGGCTGCACTCTTAAAAAAAGTTCTTAAATGGTTCTTTGACAGGGTATATGGTTCCATGAAGAACCTTTAATATCCAAAGAACCTTTCCATTGCACAGAAGGTTCTTTGCGACACAGAAAGGTTCTTTAGACTATTTAATGGTTCTTCACAGTCAACATGTTGTAAATATTTTTTTCTGGAAAGTGAGATCAAGTCAGCTAAATTGTCCTGCCTGGTCCAGAACTCATTCCAGACTAATTTTCTATTAGTTGCGTTCAATTATAGTGCAATATAACGTATTAATTTTGAGTTGTATAAATAGTGTTGTGGTGTTTATTAGGCTAATTAAAAAAAAAAAGACCAGTAGATCAGTCCTTTATATCTATTACATGTATTTTAATGCTATTTTGCATGACTCAAAAAACAAATAAAATAAAATTATTAGGCTAGTTATTTAACAAAAGCAAAGTTTAGTATAAAAAATACTGCAATCGTGTTTTAAAATGAAATAAAAAGGCTGAGTGATACAAAATCTTAAAATATAAAAGTGCCATTTTGTACGGAGCCCCTAAAGGTGGTGGCGGTAAATGCACCAGAAGTTGGTTTGCCATCCGCCATAAAACGTTATTAGAAGAAGAAGAAGAAGAGCCCCTAAAGGGACATGGTGGTGGGAAAAAAATTCTGGGTGGGAGGAAAACATTTTTTGCGTTCTCTCGCAAAACGTTTGCGTTCCCTCGAGAAACTTTGCGTTCCCTCGCAAAACTTTTGCGTTCTCTCGCAAAGATATTTGCGTTCCCTTTTGCGTTCTCTCGCAAAAGATATTTGCGTTTTGCGAGG